TCAGCTCTCGAGCGTCTGCGAAGGACAGAGGTTTATATTTGATTCTTGCTTCTTTATTTGTTAAAGTGGGAGATTTTAGACTTATTCTTTATTATGTCAGAGCTCCCTCCTCCTCCTCCTCCCCTCTTCACCTCTCTCTCCTCCTCCTCTCCCTGGTGCCTCCTCCCCCTCTCCTCCTCCTCCTCTCCCTGGTGCCTCCTCACCTCTCTCTCCTAATCTCCCTCTCCTCCTCCCCCTCTCCTCCTCCCCCTCTCCTCCTCCCCCTCTCCTCCTCACCTTTCTCTCCTAATCTCCCTCTACTCCTCCCCCTCTCCTCCTCACCTCTCTTTCCCCCTCCCCTCCTCACCTCTCTCCCCCTCCCCCTCTCCTCCTCACCTCTCTCTCCTAATCTCCCTCTACTCCTCCCCCTCTCCTCCTCACCTCTCTCTCCCCCTCTCCTCCTCACCTCTCTCTCCCCCTCCCCTCCTCACCTCTCTCTCCCCCTCCCCTCCTCCCCTCTCTCCCCCTCCCCCTCTCCTTCTCACCTCTCTCCCCCTCCCCCTCTCCTCCTCACCTCTCTCCTCCTCACCTCTCTCTCCTCCTCCTCCTCTCCTCCTCACCTCTCTCTCCTCCTCCTCCCCCGGTGTGAAGGCCCCTGTGGTGTCAGCCTGGTTCCTCCTCGTGGGCCCCTCCCCTCTCCTGCGGCCCCCAGACCCTCTGGAGGACATGGAGCTGGAGGAGCTGGGCTGAGGGCCGTTCACCGACGGGAACTGAGGCCGACTGTAAGGCAGGATGTCCTCCGAGCCTGCGGGGGCAGCACACAGGGGACTGTTTATGTACACGCACACACACACACACACACACACACACACACACACACACACACACACACACACACACACACACACACGCGCACATGCACACACACACACACACGCGCACTTGCACACGCACACACAGATACATATACACACACACACACACACACACACACACACACACACACAAACAAACACAGATACATGCACACACACACAAACACACACAGATACATACACACAGACGCACACACTTTTTTTGTCTGTGTATCTGTGTATATATATGTAAATATGTGTATGTGTGTGTGTGTGTATATATATATATATGTGTGTGTGTGTGTGTGTGTGTGTGTGTGTGTGTGTGTGTGTACCTGTATGCTGACGGGTCTTGCTGCCTTTAACCCCGCCCTCTCTCCTCTCCGCAGACCCTCTGTGCTCAGAGCAGGGGTCCCGGGGCCCGGAGGGGGGGTCTCGGGGCCGGTAGCTGCCTCCTCTCTTTTCCTTGGGGGAGAGCACGCCTCGGCCCTCGGGGGTCTTACAGGGGTGTGTGGGGGACTGGGGCCCCGCTGGAGGGGGGACGGGGGGAGGCGGCAGATCTGCACACAACACGATCATGGACATGGTTATTTTCACTTCATCAATTCAACTCAAATACAAGGAGCATAAGACAGTGGTGGTGAGGAGGGAGCAGCGTCTGCAGTCAGAGCTCTGGGTCACATTAGAGAAACTCCTCTCTCCTTCTCCATTCTTTCACCCCTCCCTCCTCAATCACCCCTTCCTCCTCTCCTTTAACTCCTCTCTTTTCTCTCCTTTCCTGCAATCCCCTCTCTCTCCTCTCCTCTCCCTCCTCTCTCTCTACCTCCTCTCTCCCTCCTCTCTCTCTACCTCCTCTCTCCCTCCTCTCTCCCCCTCCTCTCTTGTGTTTTTAATATCCCTGGTCTCTCTCCTCTTATCTGCCTCCTCCTCTCCTTACTGTCTCCCCCTCCTTTCCCCTGCTTCCTCTCTTCCTCCTCACTCCCCCTTTTCTCCCCCTCCTTCCCCCCTTATTTCATTTTGCTCCGATCGATGCCGCAGCGAGAGGCCTGACACTGCCCCAGAGCTGCCAGGATTTATGCCCAGCCCTGAGCAGTGACTGCAGGCCACAGAGATGGGCCCTTTACCTGGGGCAAACTGAGACCAGAGACCAGGAGAAAAGGAGACAAGGAGACAAGGAGACAAGGAGACAAGGAGGCAGGAAGCAGGAGGCAGGAGGCAGGAGGCAGGAGGCAGGAGGCAGGAGGCAGGAGGTAGGAGACAGGAGACCAGAAAGACACACGTCTCAGTCTCCAAATACAAGATAGAGAAAGAAACCCAAAGGTCTAATTTGTTCACATTTTACATCAGACGTGAACAATGTGCAAAAGTAAGTACCCCAGAGTCTGCTGGAGGTAAAAGTAGTGCCCTAAAGTCTGCTGGAGGTAAAAGTAGTGCCCTAGAGTCTATTGGAGTTAAAAGTAGTGCCCTAGAGTCTTCTGGAGGTAAAAGTAGTGCCCTAGAGTCTGCTGGAGGTAAAAGTAGTGCCCTAAAGTCTGCTGGAGGTAAAAGTAGTGCCCTAGAGTCTATTGGAGGTAAAAGCAGTGCCCTAGAGTCTTCTGGAGGAAAAGGTAGTGCCCTAGAGTCTGCAGAGGTAAAAGTTGTTCCCTAGAGTCTGCAGAGGTAAAGGT